GGGAACGGGTTCAGGACCAATGGATTGGCATTCCTCTACACATGCCTAAATCTAAATGACAGCATGTCTCGACGAGTAGCAGCACTTACTGCAGCGCGAGGAGGAAACACCAAAATACTGAAAATTACATCTTGAGTTGCCTAGTTTGCTTCAAGTCGAATAATATTAAACTTTCTTCGAAGTTGTTTTTCCTATGAGCCCCGCAAAAAAACTGTAACAAAATTGAACAAACTTGAAACTTTCATTAAAGAAGGGGTATGAACATAAGGAAGCTGAATTTATGTGCGACGCATCAGTAAATGCCTGCTAATTAAGCATGCAAAAATAATGACTTTTAATGGTTCAGACTGTGTGAGGGCTGACAGTAAAACTTTGAAACATTGTTACAGCTTTGTGAGACACTGTAAATAGAACTGCGAATCTGCTCTTCACAAACACAGGCTAAAATCAGTTTGTATGAAAAAAAACAAGATTTTAAAGAATATAGCCAACATACAGTTGGAAAAGAGTCATGAACTCAAGGAAATAAAAAAAAACTGACATCTTTTAATGAAAAAATTCCAACTTTCGAATTTCAAAGAAAAACAGATGGCATTAAAGCTCTTCGAATTTCTGGATCAATTTATGATTGTCCCTTTTTTTGATAAAATTGACCCAATTGGAGAAAGCTGGATGAATAAATAAACTTTTTATTTCGCTGGGAAAACTGAAAATTAAATTCCACATTCGAAATCAGAAGTCGCTCACGTTTTTCGTGACAAATACACTTTTGCTGTACAATAGAAGAGTTTGCCTTTCTTTCAACAAATAAAATGAACTGAACTAAGAAAAAACCAAAAGCCAAACCGCGAAAAATTAGATTTGAGCGTGAACGAATTGTATAACTTTTTCCTGAAAAAAAAAACAAACAAACAAATCACCAAGACCTATAAAAGAGCATTTACTACGCTCATGAATCTTAATTATCCTAGAAAAAACTGCAATGACTTGTGACTTCGTAGACAAGAACTATAACTCCATAGAAATTCAGAATTTTACCTAATATAGCCTTCTGGAGAAAAAAACAGCAGACGGCAAGAAATGCGTTGTTTAAAATTGCCACAATGAAACATATCTGAACAATTTAGCTGAGACACGCATATTCAGAAAACCTTGTATTCGTAAAATTTGTCGGTAAACATTGCAGTATTTGCTCATCGACCTGTCATTCGTCATGATCAAGCGACATGCCAAATTGATTTCTGGTGACAAAAAAAGAAGACTTTTCCTAGCATTTCAAGCCAACAATGATGCGAATTAGAACCAGAAAATTCTCCATACAATTTTTTCGATTCCAAAACCCTTCAGGTATCAATCCGTGAAAAATATCAAGTAATTTACGGTTGGTTTCATAGCTTATTTTTCTCACAGCATATTTCTTTGTCAAATACATCAAAAACGTAAATCGTAGCGATCTTGTCATCTAGCTTGTAATTGATTAACATGCGTTATAAACTAGAAAGTTTTAACTGCTGAACAAAAAATACTAACACAGTTGAAAACTATTCGCCTGCCTTCTAAACACAACGTAACCACTCAACTGCGACAAAATCGCACCGGAGAAGTAGACTATCTTTGTAAGAAGCTCAGACGATAAGTTTGATTCACGCACGTCAAAGACGCGTCAGCGTATTGAACAGCAGCCGAGAGACAAATTTACGATACCAGGTACTAAATGAATTCTGTATTTTGGAAACGCTAAATACTAAATTTCAGATTCAAACAAGGCTAGCCGATTGCAGATACAAAGTTCCGACCACAATATTTTTTTTTCAATTTGTGCCGATTTTTTTCGTGGCGCGATGAGAGTATCTGAACAAAACCCTTTTAAGTCTAAAATTTAGAAATAATCGATAGATATAGAAGATTTATTCGACGTCAGTTTTACTCAAATAATGAAAAGAAAAAGAAAAACGTCGCTAAACGATACTAACAAACTTTATAGGGGTAAAATTTAATCTTCACGGCTTAACTTGACTTAATAAGCCGTTTCACATATTCGCTCAAAAAATGGCTAAAAATCAAAAAATTTCGAACAGGTTTTTCTCGACATTGAAAAACTTTTTTAAAATTGAGAGACGAAGCAGTAAAAAACCATTTGATGGTCTCACAATAACTTTGAACTGGTTGAATTAGGCCGCACTCTACTGTAGCGCGGGCTACATCGTGTATTAATAAATTAACCATGAAAAATCGACTGTTTCTAGCATAACATTCAAAACTAATTTGAAGCGAACTTGACAAGAAAGAAAAGTCAAACATGAATAGGTAACCTTCACACAGAGGTTTTGTAGACTTCGCATACAAAAGCAAAAATATGAAAGATAACGCTACTGGAAAAAACTGAATGAGTAAAACTTTGAGTCTACAAAATTTCAAAAGTCACGCACGCCAATTATGAGTCTACATAATTTCTCAGTGACGCAAGCCAATTATGACGCATTAGCAGTACCAGTCAATTTGAAAAAAAAGAAGTTATTCAACTAACATGCCTCAACTTATAGAGCGGATGCACTTTAGCTTGTATACGAAACAGTTCATTAAAAACATCCGAACCTGCCCAGGTTCGAACCCTCTTATTTCGTTACTGGTCTCTTTCCCTACCTCTACGCTACAGAACCATGATACCTTGAAGCTAAAGTGCTATTTGTAATATAATAGTCTGTGTTAATATCCTTAGCATTGGATGTACTTAATAGCTGGTTATTGATCAAAATGAACACATTTAAGTCGCAACAAAATTTGCGACTTAGGTCGGAAAAACAGAGTTCATACTATAACACAAGCTTTGCTTGTGTAAAAATGAGGAAGCAACCGGAATTTAAAATGATAGAAATTCGCAAAATGACTACACGACCTGGCAACATTTAAAACGATGAAAACTCACAAAGAGACGAAGTTTTGCGCCACTTGCAATAAAAGAAAGCCGCTAAGTTGAAAAAATTGAAAACACTTCGAAAAAGTCGAAAACACTAGACCTGGCAACATTTAAAATGACGAAAACTCACAAAAAGACGAAGTTTAGCGCCACTTGCAATAAAAGAAAGCCGCTAAGTTGAAAAAATCGAAAACACTTCGAAAAAGTCGAAAACACTAGACATATCGAACAGAATAGAGCTAGGGTCTAGTGTTCAAAAAATAATGCCAAAACAATAGATTGTGGGAAAAAAAAACAGAAAAAACTTACCAAGTGAAAAAAAACTATGAAAACTAATTAAAAGTGTTGAAGTCCCCCTCTACGCACGCGTTAATTTTTTCATCAACCGACGCAATAGGAGTTCAGTAAGCCATTATTATACAGGCCAAAACATATTAAACCGAAAAAAAAAGAACAGAAAAACAGACAAATTAAGAATTATATTAAATCGAGTTGGTAAAATTACAACAAAAACTCGAACATGATCTGCTGCAGTAATTCCAATAGAGGGGGCTGTAGTTTTCAATGAGTCCTGTGAGCAAACGTTTTTACGGGAAAAAGTCTAGTACCCGATTGCAATACCCTTGCTTATCGCAAGGGTAAAAAAGAACTACCGGTCACTGAGTAAAACGCACGAAATGTTCCGACCAGTAAATTTTCTTTGATTTGCATCAACTGTACTAATACTATAAAAGTCCTTCCTTTTCACTCATCTCCCAGACGAACAAAACAATTTTTAAATTAGTTTTTAAAGATGAACTCCACGAATTAGTTTCCGAGAGCAACGATTTGAACACTTTTAATAATCATAGAAGCAACTTATGTTTGAAAAACCTCACAAAACAGGAAACAAAGGTAATCGATGACGATCTCACCCTCAAAGACCTCCTAATTTAGATACTCGCTTTGGATACTGCTCCTCCAATCACTTGGGATAACGTTCAGGATTAGGAGCTCAGATCTGATTACATTTCGTTTTCAATAAGTATCACTATCTCCTTCAGTGACCATAACACCGCCCCAAATTTCCCGACTGATCTGTCTCTTTATTTCCCCCCATTTCTCAACTGCCTAAAAACGGACTGAACTTACTCCCAACAGACCTGTTGTTACGTCCGTCCGAAGCATCAAAATTCTTAAACTCGGGTCAAGCTCACGTGACGCGCATCATGTGAGTTACTAACAACAACAGCCAGTTGATTTCGAATAAAAAAACTCCTTATTCGAGCTACTAAGGGATTTTTTTGTGCGTACGGGAAAGAGTCAACCTAGAAAACTAGCAATCGCTTTAATTTATTAGAGTATTAGAATCATTTTTGATTGAGGAAACCGAAACATTCTCCAGCTTTTTTGACGCCTGGAGAACACTAGCAGAAACAATCTTAGCTTTATTGCAGCTGAACTAACAGCTTTTCGAATCAACAATTCTTGGCTTACTCGTTCAGCTCGCTCTAAGTTTGACTAAAGCAAAACTTTCAGAGCGGTTTCTCTCGCCAGAAAAAAATGAAACTTTCTAAAAATCAATTGAACCACCTCTAAAATTGCTTCACAAAACTATCCAACTAGGCGCCTTCTGACATTAAGTTGAGACACCTTGAAACAAAGTTCCGCCACAACTCGTAGTCGGAACAAAAATCGCATTTATTAGATGACACTAGTTCTAGATCTCAAAGCCTTAAGCTATCAGTTTCTTTAAACGCGTGTTGCTCTTACTGGGTGCTACTAGTAGCACTCAATTCTTTCGCAGTTTTCTCCGGGATATTGAAAATTGGCTTAAGCTTATATCTCGACCGGCCATAGAAACACCTGCTTCAAACTCGCAGCAATCAAACCAAAACAATTTAATCAACGTACATTTCACTAGACAATTATTGAATTGGGATCAGGCCATTCAATCTAATAAATAAAATTCGCTAAGACAAAGCTGAAGTGTTCTGCAAAGATCTGGTGTTTTTAAAACAATTAACATTAAAACTAAAGCAGCATTCAAAAACAAAAGGACAATTTCAAGCAGCAATTTGGAACATTTTGATTAAAAAGTTACCGTTTTGCGAAATGAGAACTTAGATGAGCGTCTTTTACAAGAGCTACTGCGTCGGGCTTTCTACAAAACATAATTTGAAACTCCTTAAATTAACTTTTGACGAGCTAGCTAAAATAAAATAACGGTGTATTAAGAGAAACTTTGCATACTGCAAAACTAATTGAAGCTCCTACCCATTGATGCAGACACGGGTAATTAAAAAAAATTGAAAATTCGAGAAAGCTCAAAATTGAAACAAAAATTATAGATTACCTTTAGCTTTTTGTTCAGTCTGCAGCAATATCTGTACAATTGACCCAAATTGAGAGGTCCAAAATCTCGATAGAAACTAAAAAAAGATAGAAGCTGAAAACAATACTAGTTATTACAACGAATTAATGCCAAAACCAGTGCGAAATTCGCCCGTTTAAGAAATTCGAACACATAAAGACGCTTTCTGATAGTTCTGACCGCAGTTAACAGAAATATATATTTTTTTGGAATTTATGAGACCACACCTTCTTTTCTCAATCAAATACAAAGTCGCTGTCTTCTTGATATAGGCTAAACTTTTGTTTTTATATAGTCTGGGGGGGTCTATAATGAGGACCAACTTGTTGTAAATGAGTTCTTCGTCTATAGAGAAGTAGTGAGTCTGTGCTGTACTTTTCGGTTTGATCTGCAATGTCGCAAAGTAGAGACGATCTAAAAAACAGATTATTTGATAGCTCAACTTAACTAATAACTTAACTAAACGCTTGTTATGAATCTTTTACCGTCCCTCTCATGGTACCTAGTAAAGAATACTCACACCTCTAAAGGCTATACGACTATTTAACGTCAAACATTTTTTTAACATGAATAAGTCAAATTGATTAAACTGACGACTGGAATCTGCTTTTGAATGCATCAAAGTTTCAGGACCCACCCAAAATTGGTGCCTACTTCGGTACTCCAATTTCCAAATTCCAGACATAAATTAACCTCTGCACCAGCTGTGCACACATGCTTGCTTAATAAACACAAGCAGCATTGGAGGCCAGTTGGTTAATCTTTGAAAATCCTGAAATCGAAACGGATTTTAACGGTTTCCTCCAACTGTGGAGCCTTTTTACCTATTACTAATTTTGTTCGAGCCACGTCCAACAAAAATTGGCACAAATAGTTAACTAATTCGGAATATTGAAAAACCAGTCGATAAAAGATAACTAGCGTTTAACGCACCTTCAGTGCTTCGAATTTTTACGACAGCTCATGAAAAACCGCATATATTGGAAACAACATCTGCAAACTTTTAGTGTACTCTGACTGCACCCAATTACAGGGTTGGTAATTTCGAACTTTTACATTTTTTTAGTTCCTATTTTAAAAGCGTCATCTCGAAAACTTAATGGGCCTCCGGAGAACTTTGGAGGCCAGATTTGCAACCACTAAGAGCACCCTATTATAGGGTTAGGAATCCCAAAACGTTGTGAATTTTTTTAAACCTAAGTTTCCGAAAAAAAAAATTGAAAAAAAACGTCTTATCTCGGAAACTAAAATGATTTGAGCATTCATACTGAGAGGCAAGATTTGAGACGCCTGGGTGTACGCTGACAATAAGGTTGTATCTTCATCAAATTAGTATTTTCAAATTTTTTGAGTTTCTTTGTAGATAAGTTCTTCGAGAAATTTTGAAAAAGTCAAAAAACGTCAGATCTCGGAAACTAAAAGCATTAGAGCAGTTGCGTTTAGCATTCGCTTGTGGCAAGATTTGCAACTCTTTAGAGTACCCTGACAACACCGAACTATAGCGTTGGAAATTTCAAATTTTGAAAAAATAATTAATTTAAACTTTCTGAAGTTTTCAGATAACTTTTGGAAAAATCACAAAAAACGTCATATCTCGAAAACTACAAAGAATTGAGCAGCCATACTTGGAGGCAAGATTCGCAATCTTGGAGATTACTCTGACAGGACCCAACTACAGGGTTGGGAATTTCAGATTTTACGAAAAAAAAATTGATAAGTTTTCTGAAATTTTTTTTTGAAAAATAACAAAAAAACGTCATATCTCGAAAACCACAAAGATTTAAACGGTCATATTTGGAGGCAAGATTTGTAACTCCTTACAGTACTCTGACAGCACCCAACTACAAGATTGAGAAATTCAAATTTTGAGAAATAATTAAATAAAATTTTCTGAAAACTTTTGAAAAAATCACAAAAAAATATCATATCTCGAAAACTACTAAGAATTGAGCAGTCATATTTGGAGGCAAGATTCGCAATCTTTGAGAATACTCGGACAGTACCCAACTACAGGGTTGGGAATTTCAGATTTTACGAAAAAAATTGATAAGTTTTCTGAAATTTTTTTTTGAAAAATCACAAAAAAACGTCATATCTCGAAAACCACAAAGATTTAAACTGTCATATTTGGAGGCAAAATTGTAACTCCTTACAGTACTCTGACAGCACCCAACTACAAGATTTATAATTTCAAATTTTGAGAAATAATTAAATAAAATTTTCTGAAAATTTTTGAAAAAATCACAAAAAATATCATATCTCGAAAACTACTAAGAATTGAGCAGTCATATTTGGAGGCAAGATTCGCAATCTTTGAGAATACTCGGACAGTACCCAACTACAGGGTTGGGAATTTCAGATTTTGCGAAAAAAAAAAATAAATAAGTTTTCTGAAAAATCACAAAAAACGTCACAATGCGCTACTGATCTCAAAAACTACAAGGATTTGAACAGTCATATTTGGAGGCAAGATTTGTAACTCCTTAGAGTACTCTGACAGCACCCAACTACAGGGTTGGGAACTTCAAGTTTTGTAAATTATTTTGTTATTTGAAATTTCTGAACATTTTTGAAAAAATTTCAAAAATCGTCTTATCTCGTTAACTAAAATGACTCGGGCACTCAAAATTGGCAACCCCTAATCGAGGCCAAATTCGCAACCCCTAATCCGATATTGGGCTGCTTAATTTAAACTCGGTAAAATAACCACTAAAATCAAATTGGAAAATCGAAAAAAAAATTCTTAACCATTGCAATATACGATATAGCTTAAACATGCAAAAATAATACGTTGAAAAGGCTTAAACATGGCGAGATAGTGAAGCCCGCATTTAAATATATAATAGATTATTGAACTAAAGCATTAAAGTGTCCTCGAAGTAAACGGAAATAATTTTGATGACAAAGTACAGGGTTGCCGCGCGGTCAGGTCCATGTCAGGGCGAATAAAAACTGGTCAGAGCAGTATCAGGGCTACCAAAGTTGTCTCAGGGCCAGGAGCGTGAAAGCGTTGCTCGCCTTTTCGTTTTTATTTCAAAGTCTAAATTCATTTGTTTATTGAGCGTTAACCTGTAATTTTGACTGCCATGGAAGAACTTGAAAAACTAAAAACAACCACGTAAGAAGTTAATTTGGTATTACTTTAAGTTATGTTATTTCTGGTAATTGAACTTCTTTGACAGTTTTTTTTTGCAGTTTTGACTAAATGTCAGGCCCTGAGCTTCAAAATAGTCAGGGCTGTCACGGCGACAGTTAAATTGTACTGCGTCGCAACCCTGAAGCACATTTCGGGACAAAAACCCGATTTTCTATAGAAGACAGAAAAAATTCGGCTTTAAATGCATCAGTTATAGAAACTTTTTTCCCTCTGAAAGTGCTTTTCGAGTTTTGGTGTTCTGAATTTTTTGGTGTTCTACTTTCTTGGAAGAATCTGGCTCATGATTTCATAACATTCAAACTTTTTTCAAGTGTTTCTCAAGTACCTATTGAGCTCCCCCCGCGAGAATGGGGGATTGCTCAATTGATCTAAGATTACATTTAAAATTATAGCTTTTTTAAGATAATTAGGCTACTTTACACGATCTTAAATATTTTATGAATTTATATGGGGTAACTTACGTCTACGAGATATAAGTCTCCAGCTCCTGGGCCGTACGTGCCATTTTATATTGAACATTGCTGTTACAATAAATAAATTATTTCCGATTAAAAAGAACTTGTAAATGCCAATGCTTCCTTGAATAGAAACAGGAAACCCAACTAATACCTCTACAGTGCATTTGAGGAAAATGGGAATTACGCACCTTTTATTATTTCGCAAGCACTCAGAACATCACCGGTCGTTTCATCATATCGATCATTTGTATGAAGCAAAACAACCTTCCCGCTTTCTTTTTCCACAGGTAGAGCCATTAGCACAACACTGTTATCGTTTGGTTATGGCATATACATTAACATGTCGCTTTGTAATAAGTTGGTTTAATCTGACGAGGGAAAAATATAACTTGGTCGCTGAATTTCAAATCATTTCCAGTGTTTATTCATTTTGCCTGAATCAAGCAAATATATTAGCTAATATATACTCCATTTCGGAAGGTAGTGAACAGACAAGTACTTCAGTGTCGCCGAACACGACATTAAGTCATTGTCAAGAATTAAACATTCTTCAGCTATTAATCAGTTTCAGAAAAATGTTAAGCCGAGCAGCTTCGCGTCAATTGCGTCACAAAAGCTCTGCACCTTGAGAAAACAAAACTATTTTTCCAATGAATTAGCATAAATTGACTAGAAAATTAATTAGGGCTAATTGATTTGCCAAAATAAAGAAAAAGCCTATAGACAGTTGAAAGAATGTCTCAGAACTAACCTAATAAAAATTTTTACAAACACAAAATGTAACTTGTTAAGTTTCAAAGAGTTAGCTCAAAAATTAGAAGAAAGAACATTTCTTTTAATGAAAAAAAAACTGCATTACAAAAGGGGCGCTTCCGTTTAGTTACGGTAAGTGCACAAGCTGGATAGGGCCATACCAGCGTTAATAAAATGCATACATATCAGCAATGAAGTCATAAATCAGCATTAAATGCATTGTCGTAATTTTTCACAAGTTCAAATCTGGTCTATAGGCTTCGGCCTCTAGCGACCAGCTCTTTCGTCGACGTCCATTTCGTCATTCCAAAAACGATGCGTTGTACATTTTGGACGCCCATAGTTTGTCAAGCCTTGCTTTGAATATGTTGACGTTCTCGCTCGATTTTATTTCTTCAGGCAATGAGTTCCAGTCGTTAATGGCTGCGATAGTGAAGAAGTTTTGTCTCGCTGTTGTTTTGGTTTTCCTCGTTAAAATTTTGTACGGGTTTCCTCGGGTGTCTCTTTCATTGATCGTAAACAGTCCTTCCGTTGCTGCGGCATCGTACATTCCATTCAAAATTTTGAAGACTTCTATCATTCTGCGATAGAAGTCTTGCTGTTGTTATGTTTTATTCCCATCCAAGATGTAATTCGAACACTGATTTGCGTATTCCAGGTGCGTTCTCACTAGGGCTTTATATAGGGTTGTTAGTACCTCAGCGTTAAGATAGATGAAGCTTTTCCGTAATATCGCGACCATGCAGTTGGCCAACCTTGTTTTCTTGGCAATGTGCTCACGGAATAGTAGTCTCGAGTCAACTATAACCCCTAAGTGATATTTACTACGAGAAAGCTCAAGACTTGCCTACCGTCCCTTAAATCTCCCTTTGCGAAAGATTTGAAATCCAGAGTGGTCTACAAGCTCACATGTAGTGGATGTAATTCCACCTATGTTGGACAAACGGTCCGGCATTTGACCACGCGGATTGAAGAGCATCACAAGGAAGATTCGCCAGTAGGGCAACATTTGAGAGATGGTAAGAGCGCTGAGCTTAAGTCTGAGATTATAGATCAATCAAGTAACATACAGAAACTCCTCACTCTGGAGGCCTTACATATTTGGAAAGAACGCCCCAGAATTAACACGCGCGAGGAGTTCAGGAGCAGGGAGCTGACATTAAAATTATAGTACATGTTTAAACATGACTAAAATTGCAATTTTTGAAAAAATAAACTGACATGTCAGTTTGGATAAAACATCAAATCGAAAAATTATGACTCAAGTAACAAAAAAGTATGGAAATTGTCATAATCGATGAAATAATGATTACGTAATAACAGATGTAAGAATGTGATTGGTTAAAAATTTCTAACATGTTCTTTTTGAATTTCATACATGATCTTTGATCATTTTATTGTAAATAAAAGTTTTTATATCCTGACGATGCACAAAATGTGCGAAAACGTTTGAATTAACAATTTTAAAAAATTCTTATACAACCCCTAAGTCTTTCTCGGTTTGAACATTAAGGTATGTATTCCCATCCAAGATGTAATTTCGTTCCGCTAGTTTTACCCTTCCCGTTAACGTGAGCGTATGGCATTTTGTCATGTTGAACTTCATAAGGCTACCATCAGCCCATTTCGAAATTACATTCAGATCATTTTGCAGTTCTTCATCTTCACCTAAAGCTGTGACTGATCTGTAGATTTTCGCATCATCTGCGTAGAGGAGCATTTGGGATGTGATTCCATCCCCCATCGAGTTTATGTATATTAAGAACAGAATTGGTCCCAGTACAGACCCTTGTGGGACTCCACTGATGACGGGTGCCCATTCCAAAAAAATTTCGTTGACCACCATTCTTTGTTTTCTTTCTGTTAAGAATGAGGTAATCCATTCGAGAGTTTTTCCTCTGATCCCGTATCTCGAAATTGTGTTTAGTAGTCTTTTGTGGGGTACACTATCAAAGGCTTTTTGGAAGTCAATGTAGATGATATCTACCTCGTTAACTCTGTCCAGTTCTGCTGTCCAGTCGTCAAGTGCTCTCAGTAACTGTAGGGTCGTTGATCGCCCTGGTAAAGACCCGAATTGCTTGTCTGATATGATAATGTTGTTTTCTAAAAATTCATACAGGTGACGTCTGATGATTTTTTCCATAATTTTACAACTAATGGATGTCAGGCTAATAGGTCTGTAATTGTTAGGATCACTTTTTGCTTCCTTCTTGTGAATTGCTGTTATATTTGCGCATTTCCAATCTTCTGGTATTTCACTTTTCTCCCAAGAACTTTGCATTAAACCACTCATCGTTTCAGCTATTTCGTATCGGGATTCTCGCAATACCCGAGGGTGTACGTTATCTGACCCCATTGATTTCGTAGTGTCTACCGCATTGAGTTCATTTAGGATTGTCTCTTTGGAGATAAAAAGGTCATCAGATATTTGATTTTCTTGGTAATCCACTACTTCCCAGCTGCCTGGTGTTTCGATCGTGAATACAGAACTGAAAAAGTGGGCAAGAGTATCAGCTTTATCTTTGTCGTTCATAGCCCACTTGTCTGGTCCAATTTTGAGAGCCGGTATTGTTTCGGTTGTTTTATTTTCTCATTCACGTAGTTCCAGAACTTTTTAGGTTGGTGTTTGATGCTTTTGGATACATCTTCTTCGTGCTTTCGAACACATTGTCGTGTCAATTTCCTGACTTTGTTTCGAGCCGATGTGTAGTTTTCATAGTTTCTTTGCGACTTCTCTTTCTTGAAATCTTTTCATGTTTTATGTTTATCTCGAAGTACATCTCTTACTTCGGAGCTCATTGGCAATTTGTGTTGCTTTATCCGGATTTTCATCTTAGGTATAAATTTCTTGGTGGCAGAATCAAGATTACTTTTGAATTTAATCCAATTTTGGCCAAGGGTTAGCAAGGCTTCGTAAATTAGATTATTTTTTAAATCAGACCTGAGTTCATCGTAGCTTCCTTTATTGTAATTTAGCCTCTCTTTGGAGCGCCTTGTTGTCCAAAGGTTGAATTTTGCTTGTAACAGTGTGTGGTCACCTTTCCCCAGTGGAGAGATGTATTCAATGGAAGATGGTTCTAAGGTTTTATCAGTTAATAAGAGGTCTAGGAGTGACGGTTCATTATGTTTGGTCACGCGTGTTGGTCTTTCAACATGTTGGTCGAGATAAGAATCTTTGACCACCTCAATGAAATGGTGTTCTTTGCTGTTTTCGTCGTGATTCGTGCTCACATATTTCCAGTCTATATCTCGGAAGTTCATGTCTCGCAGCACAATGTATCTAGATCAACTTGATCCTATTTTTCTTAAAAAACTGTTGAGGTTGGAGTTGTTTTCGTGAGTTGATGATGGGCTACGATATGTCGAGGCGATGACAACTTCTCCCTCCGTTAAAATCAAGTTAAACACTTGCAGTTCCTCGAATCCAGAGTAATCGTCTATTTCTTTATATTCGATGTCTTTGCGAATGTAAAGTAGCATGCCTCTGCCTTTTTTATTTGGATTCATGTTTTTGTGTTTTAAAATGTAGCAATCAAGTTTGTGCCAAATTGGGTTCCATATGTTTACAGAATTCTTAGGTTTAGCTTCTGTAAGAGCAATAACGTGCGGTAACAGGTTTGTTTGATGTATTAGCGTTTGTAACTCTATGAAATTTTCAGGGTTTAGGCTGTCTACATTCCCGAACCAGAGCTCAAAATGTTCTCTGTTTCCGGCGTTGTTCTTTGCATCATTGTTATCTCCCTTTTCTTTACTCTGATTATTTTGTTCCCTCTGACAATGTGAATGAAGTTGCCGGGTTCCTCTGCTGTTAAGTTTTTTGCTCGCTGCACTAGGAAGCAGACATTTTCCCTCTCTTTCATGCTCCTGTCTGGAGTGATTCTCAGGTGTTTTAGCTCATCCTTGGCATACTTCAATTTTGTTAGATTTTTCATCATGTGTTCAGCATCATTTTGTGTTTCCAGTGTGAGTCTCAATGGTCTTGGCCTCGTTTCGTTTTTTGTGGCCCTCAGATAATTTGCCAAGTCTAGTGCAATTTTTAACTATTTTTGGTTCAATTTCTATGCTTGCGCATAGCTCGCGGATTAATGACATGTCTTCATTCTGTCGCAGTTTCGGTTCGGTTGATTTACTTTCCGGTGCTTTGTGTATGACTAGATTTCGTTTTCTTCTTAAACCTTCTTCCTCTTCTCTTTTTTGCTCAGCTCCAGCTTCAAGGATTATGTCTTTCAGAGGTTTAGTGACATTTGGTTCTGTCTTCCAGGGATTTGCATTCGATCCCACTGTTGGCTGTGCTTTGTTTTTTGTTCCATTCATGAAGTAATAAAAATCCTCCATGAGAATTTTCACGAAATCAACAGTTTTATCCAGATCGGTTCTCATTTTGGATATGTCCTGATGTGTTTTTGGAGTCACTGCGTCTTTCATTAGGTTCTTTACATCCTCGGTACAATTGTCGCAGCACCATATTCCTTTAGATTTCGACATGCAATCATAAACTGCCGTTGGCATTTTCAAACATTTTGCACAAAAATGTTTTGTACAGTTATCGCACTCCAATACTTGATCCAAGGGATCTCCGTAGTTTTTCTACAGGTTACACACGTCCAGGCCTCATCAACCTGTGATTTGTTTGTGTGTTTCCGTGTACGGTTACTCATTTTGAAAGAATTCACCTAG